GACAAGACAAGAAAAAGAAAACAATGCTTTGTAGTCATGTATTTTGCCTTGTAGGAAAGAAAGGGGTGTCCCAACTGCTTAGTACTCTAGTACCAGCTGAAACGGTACGTTGGGAGAGTTGCCTTTTCTTTATCTAAATTTACCTTTACTTTGGCCATTGGTGGCGGTTAAACAGAACTGGGGGAAATTGTGGGTTTTACCAGGGGGTGCAGTGCGTATTTCAGTGACCTTAAGAGTTCGCAAGGGGCAAAATGAGACAGCAGCGGCGTAGTATTGGAGCCACTCGCACCCAGCAAGTTAAGACATTTTCCAAAAGTACTCACAAGAAGATTCCAAAGTTTGACCCGGTCGCAGATTCTTGATACAGAAAATGCAAAGATGATTGACACAACAAGACACAGGATGATTGAAGAAAATGAGAAAAATGAAAGTCGCTCCATGTGGTCTGGTCTTATTATGTCCTTATCGTGTGAATTATAGAAGCTGGTGTATAATCTCTCAATGATGAAGGCTGACAGAAGCAAAATCTGCAAAAAAAAGGCGTTAGGGAGGAATAACCCGTTCTGCTGGTGGTAGAAAAAAGCAGAAAGATCTGAGAATAAAAATAAGGATTTTATTTCTACGTGAGTACTTAAGTGTAGTTACAACTAATAAGTGTTTCTTTGTCTTGTATTTTAGTTGACGAAGATGACTTACAAACTCTGCAATCTTAGAAACCGCGGCAGGAGACTTCAAATTCTCTGAGGCAGTCATCAAGTTCCTTCTAACTTGTAGATTCAATGAAGACGATTTTCAAACCCCTCGAAATAAACAACAAATTCTGGTGTTACCTCTAATCATTATGCCGCCGGTGGGATAAACTTTTTAAGGGCTCTGAATAAGCTATAAAAATGGTCGTAATACATACTCAAAAATCCGACTTTGCGGGAGCGCCAATTAATTTCATTTTAATTATTTAACTAGACTAAGTGCTATTAAAACATCGAGACTCTTCTTATTAGATTTTAAAGCACCATGTCAAATTAAGTGACTTCCAAATGGACTATTTACAAACCTGATCAGTCTCTAGAGTATTTGATGTAGCGTCTCAAATGATGAAAAACCCTTAGATTAATAGACCTTCTCGCACTCTTGTAAACAAAGGCACCAACTCGAGGCTCGGCTAGACAAAATAGAGGGATTTGTATGAAATTGTCCACCCGAGCCTCGACCTCATTTCTTTATGTTGTTTGCCGAGTCCCTGTAGCGGAATGTGGGAAACGTCTATTGAGGCAAAAAGTGGTGGATATTAAATTGTATCTGCTAATCATTATTACGAAAAATTAGACTGAGAGATATACAGCCTATTAAACTACATTTGGCAGCCGTGCGACTGCATTACATAGGCTTTAAAATGTTACAGTGAAAATAGAATATAACACTGATGAAAGCGAAGTAAAATAAACATTTAAAAAAGGTAATCGAGAGATGTCATAATTAAAGATCATTTATTCTGTTTTTGGGTCTGTAGCGGCCATGGGATAGTGGTGATAAAAGATTTAGCAAAACTAAGCGTCTTGATATTAACTCAGAAAGTATCACTGCGTGAAATAAGTAATTTAGTGGAATTTACAGGGCCACGATACTCCCATGGCACTTAGCAAATCGTATACCGACACGCGAGGTGTCATGAAACGCGGCGTTTCAGAGAGTGTCCGTGTCCCCGATACCTCTGTCGTGAAAAATCAGGACAAATCGTGGCCCGGACACGTCTTCTGCGGTGTGTCAAGAAATATACGAGCTCTGATTCTTAACGATATCAGTCAGCCAAAGCTATGTCGACTTTCGACAGAGAGGTAAAATGGCATGAAAACTGAAATTTAGGAAAAATTAAACTTTAGGTAATAAAAACACAGCTAACTCATTTACGCAAACTTTCCAAGGTACGCCGAGGTTGGTAAAGATTTACGCACTTGGCTTAAAGGTTGAATGAAGGTAACACAAGGTTGCAACAACTTTACGCTCATTCTCTTACGCGAGATATGAAAGTTGAGTAACTGTAAGGTTGCCACGTGCACTCTGGTAACATAATCTGTTTTCTTGGTTGTTTTAAGCATGACCGAAGTAGTTTTCACGCCGCTAACGATGAGAATCGTTGGCTTGTTGTTTTTGGAGATCGTGTAATTCTGTTCGGGTGACTGGAAGGCATTGTTAACATAAATGGCCTGTCACTTACTCTTGAAAAATAATACAGTTTCTTTGTCACAACCAGTTAAACGAAAACAAATTCAAAACAGAGAGAACATGCGTGTAACTATTTCCTCACTTACGATGAACGACAGACGGCATTCTCGAAAAACTATGGCTACTTTAATTTCAACGGAGTATTGACTAACTTTCTACAAATACTACATTGTTTTTTGAACTGCCTTTATCGCTTCACCGGTATCGCCTCTGTCAGGAGAAGAAAAAGGAAGAAAACCTGGGGGTTATACGTTCGAATGAGGCCTGGAAATGAAACAATATAGCAAAGCAACTGGTCAGCGGGTATTCGCTTTGCACATGCTCTTTCAGGTTCCGATTTGGCGTCCATTTTGAAAGTGTGAAATCGATCGTTTCGATCACGCCAACTTGTTTGATTTCCCTCAGAAGTTTGAGTCCATAATTATGCTTCTCGATAGCATCACAGGACATCTGAGGATTGTAACACATTATCATCGAACGTTCAACCTTCAGTTGTCGATAGATCTTAAGAGGCAACCCTTTCGATACAGGAGACTCAGTCAAGCAGATTGAGAATTTGAACGTATACTAAGGACTGTACTACTAAAGCGCTCCAAGACTCAGGATTTTGCTGGAAAATTAGATAGCAAGAAAAGGTAAGCTGCCCTGTTTTCAAACTATTTAAATCATTTTAAGTTTTCAATGAAATCAATGTTTTATGAAGGAGCTGTGGCACGAAATTTATTAAATTTGAACCGATGAAACCGCCCCCATATTGACTGAAACATAAAAATAACTACTCACAACAGTTGAAGAAGGTATAAACAAGACAGCAAACACAAAAGGAGGCTCAGATAGACAAACTTGAAGAAGATTAAAGTGGATTACAATTGCTGGTTTGCACTTGACGTCACAGCAGCCATATTGGTGGTGTGTTAGGGTTAAGAACCAAAGCATTTCTCTCCTCCGGGAACTAAACCCTATTTTCATGTAAATTCTTCAAAAAAAACATTCTATTGTAGTGACCTCCAACACACACCAATATGACCGCCTTGTCACGAGGTTGCAAGCCAAGAATAGAGGTTTTTGAAAACTTGTTGGCCTAAAGTTCATTCTTTTTGTCTGTAACTTTTGATAAAAATGTAATGCTTCGCGACAAATTTGTTTACATGAAACAGTGATGTTGTTATTTTCAAGTAATATTTCTTCACTTATGCTAGGTTCTACTGAGAATCGCATAACTGAGTAAAATCTCGCATTCTGATTGGTTAACGAAGCGAGGTATTTAGTGTGGAATTGCGAGTTGAAAACGAGGCTAAGCAATATTGTTTCGCATCTACATGTAGGTAACAACTATCGTCAAATTCTAACACGACAACTGCAAAAAAGGTTTTCTACAATGTCATTTTAAAATGTTTTCAAAACCATTGTCACCTTTTGAAGAATTCAAAACAAACAAAAGCGTTTTTATAGTGAGCCGGAGGTTCTTCCTTGTTTTGAACTGAACTACAAATTCTCGAAGAGGCATAAAAAACTTCTTTCACTCGCAACAACGAGAAAACAAGAAAATCTTGTGAACACAGTCCAGAAAATGGCAAGCCAAAGTTCAACCAAACAAAGCGGAGAAGCGACAACGGAGGAAGTGCCGGGGTCGATTGTCACATATACAGGAGAAGAAATAAATACTTTCAAAGACGACATGGCCCCTCAGTGAAAACACGAAAAAGAGTACGCCGCTTGCAGTCGTCCTTAATCGTGATACTTAGAAAAGTACAAAACAGAGCTGAACTTGAACAGCATTTCTAAAACATTTCAAGGTACTTACCATATATCAATCGTGACGTTAAACTTTCAGTGCTTTTGCTTGGACACTTCATTTCTTTCAGTTTTGCCACCGAAGAGGTAAAAGATGTATATTATTTTCCTTCTCGAGCAAATGACCAATTTGAAAAAAGATGTTATAGATAAACGGCTTGTAAATTCAGTGAAATACCTCTATTTAACGAACCTCACGATTAGTGTGAAGCTTGTTTACATGTAAAAGAGTTTGAAAACAAATGTAAAAACAAGCACAAGGTACAAAAAAAGTTGTCAAAGGGTCAAACGTGTACAACTGACCTTGCTTCCTATTCGCTAACGCAAAGACAGTTCTGCCAGTTGACTTTGAAATGGCTTCCTGGAGCGCGCTCAGGATAAAAACAATCAATATTATTGCCGCTTTCTTTTTTATCTGATTTTTATTCAGTTATGCGATTCAAGGAAAATCCATTACCTGACTCGTGAATTCCACGTTAAATTGCACTTGAAAACCGATATCGCACTCATCACTGTGCGATTCGTGCGATATCGGTTTTCGCGTGCAATTTAACGTGGAATTCACGAGTCAGGTAATGAATTTTCCTATAGAATAAGGACTTGTAATTGGCATTATGTACAACTAAAACTTTGCTTGCAAGTCCAACCAAGATGGTGACTTAGTGGGACATATGTCCTTTCAAGAGAAAAAAAAATGTTCACAGCCCTGTACACTGTTTTCAAGAAAATTAGGACAAAGACAGTATGTATACACAGTTTGTTCTTAGAAATCATACATTGCAAGTTCAACCTACAGATTAGTTAGTTATCTGCTGGCAAATAGACCTTTGTATGAAATTGTCCACCCAAACCTCATCCTCATTTCTTTGCGTTTGCTCAATAGAGCGTATGCAGGAAAGGTCTATTAGTGACTAATCTGTAGGTTGTGTGCACAGAGGGAGGTGGGGGAGGGAAGTTTCTTCCCATACATTCTCTTAAATGAAATGGAAATGATTTTCTCACAACTTGCAAAGCAATCATCAAGGGTCTTGCCAGCAGTTTTGTGTACTGATGTTGCACATTGTATCATAAACCAAAGGTACAATGTAAACGGTTTTGAGAAGGAACAAAATCATGGTAGTTGAAGGCGGGATTGTTTCTCACTATTGCATTTCGTTTATTTTGGTAAATTGCAACTTTACTGATTTTATGTCGTTTTTCAGACGTATTGTATGTTGCGGTCTTTCTTTTTTCTCTTTGTAGAGTTTGGAATATGCAACATATAACCTGAGAACAGGCTTTCTGTTTGGGGGAAGGGCAAAAAAGTTGGGAGGAGAGGGAAGGGAAAGGGGAGAGCCTTAAGACAAACCTTTGAGGCCGCTATTCCACCCTCTTGTCTATTAATTGCTGATCTTCTGTCAGCAAGATTGTCAATTAATGTAGTCAGTTTTGCATGTAAAAAGGGGGTCAGGAGGCAACACTTGACTTTTACCTGGTGCCAAAATGCTGCTTGTTCCAATGAGTTCTTTCTCTGGTGGTAGATTATGTGGAGCCTAAGCTTTGACTGAGCAAAATTGTGGTTTTCCCTCTCATTTAAAAGTGAGAGGTCATGACATGTATACTGATTGTCTGAGGTTATTGTTGTCATTGTTTCTGGTCAGTGTGATTTGCCCTCTGATGCAAGAGCATTTTATTTTAGATCTTTTGAAATGAATTTTTGTGGCTAAATAAGCTTATCAGTGATGTGCCAGAAGAAGCCATGTTAAAGATCAAAAGACCTGTCAGTGTTCTCACCAATAGGAGCTTGTATCAGAATCTGATGCACAGTGGGTGCCGCAAACTAGCAGCCTCATAAGTTTCTCTACTGGCTCTTCCCCTTCCCCTCTGATGATTTTTTAAAACTTTCCCCAAACAGAGAGCCTGTACTGTTCACAGGCTATGCAACATAATGCATGTATTATAGCAACATATAGCTGAAACAATCGCCAAAGAGTTAAGATATCGAGAAGTGTTTTGCTGCAAACCTAAGGAAAGTTAAGGTTGCTTTAATGTAAAGAGCTTTCAGCAATGAATGTAATTTGTTTATTGGGCTCATTTGAATTTTGACTTTCAATTAAGGTGTTTACTGATTCCAATAAACGAAGTGAAATTAAGTGTTATCACTGAATTGTGAATATGTACACAATGTAAGCTCATATTATAAAGCTCTCTTGAATAGATTTAATTCTGATAAATCTGGCACTTTCTCAAGTAATTGTTATCTCACAACTACTATTATAATAGTATTCTCTTCACCCGGAAAAATAAATGTATCTATGCAGTTGATCAATTCGATCGATAGTTCAGCACGCATTGTTGTTGGTTAAGAATTTACTTAGTAATGTAGGTAGTGTCGCTTCGATTTTGCAAGGACAAATACGATATGTGAGAAAAACAAAGAGGCATGGGATATATTTTTTCAGTAATTGAATATTATTCTCTTTGCTGGTTCACTTTTCAACTCTGAACTACCTCACAAGGTGACTGCTTGGCAAGTTGTGTAAGTGTTTTTCAGTCAGTATAGTTGAATTTTAAATTCAACATTAGCTTTTAAACCCAACTCTTCTATTTGACCTTGCTCGCTGTGTATTTTCAACTTGCTTCATCAAATTACAGTTACATAGTAGAACTATACAATTTTCAACTCAACACTGTGAATAAAACTATACATACACTGGACAAATTTTCCTACATTGCTACTTTTTATAAGCTTGGATGCCTGAGCCAATACTTGGTGGATTTTTCCACTTACCAAGTCACATTTCAAACTCGATCATGTATATTTTCAACAAAACTTATGATTTTTTGTTTACACTACAGTGATCATTGATCAAGACCAGGGAGTCCCCCCCGCCATAGAAGCCTTTGTCGGAGTGGGTGGTTCTTTAGTCCATTGTGCTTTAAGTGCAAGTGTTTGCCTGCGCCTTCTCACATGTGTAGTGTTCATTTCAAGTGATCTGTAATGAAATTTTTGATTGTTTGATTTGATCAGAATCTGTGATTGCCTGATCACAAAGACAGTGGCCATAAAAAACAGTCCAAAGACAGTTAAGCTCTTTCAAAAGGTATTACTATTAAGGAAAGAAATACACACCCCAGTCAAAAGACTCACATTATCTTTAGAAAAACAATAAGCTAAAGTCTACTAAGTCACAATGCAATTATCTATAGTTGATGCACCTCATTCTTATAATTTTGGAACTGTAAATCACTATCTGTGATAATTTAATATCCTGCAAAGAAAACTACTAAACGAGTTAGGCCCAGAATGATACAACATTGCAGAAAAACATTACATTAAAGGACTAGAGAAAATCACTTAAAATATTGAAATCCAGAAGGCACTTTAGAGAAAATTAGAACCCTTATTCAGCCGTAATAAAAAGCTTTATGTTTTATAGAAGTCAAAGAAAATGCTCTTGCATCAGAGGACAAATCTTGCCGACCAGAAACAAAAACCACAGTAAATCAGTATGTGTTCCACGACCTCTCAGTGTGAGACAAGTGGCAAAAATCACATTTGTTCAGTGAAATAATATTGTAGAAACTTCCAGAGCATAATCTACCCAGCAGAGGAAAAAAACATATTGGAACGAGCAACATTTTGGTAGGAGGTAAAAGTCCTTTTAATAGGCCTACCAACCAACCCCTTTTATTGCTGTGCGCTCGATAAACATGCTATCGCGGATCCCATGCCAGCCACGATAGAATCAGGTAAATCCCACTATTTACAGTAGTGCAATTTGAATACCCCACTCAATGCATGAATCTGCCATAATCACCCAGCATGCAAAGAAAGTAGTGTCCGATAGCCGGGGGCTAGTGGATTTTGCTATCAGGGTGGCAAGCTCTGTTATTAACATGCCCGATGGACAAGTGAAGTTTTTTGAGGAATTCAAATTACAGAAGTACTGTCAAATCAATCTGCTCATCAAAACATTTTTGGGGCTAGTTGAAAATAATGATGTTTGGGCTAGTAAACGTTAGCTTCAGCTGTAAAACTTTCTTTGCACCCTGTCACCATACTGATAGGAATCTAAGCAAGTGCAAACTCTGCCGCCATGTTTGTGCAATATGCACTAAGCACGACGGACTAAAGAGCCACCCACCCGACAAAGGCTTCTATTGTCTTGACCCAGGGAGGCTCCATGGTCTTGATCAATGATCACTGACGCGTGAACGAAAATTCACAAGTCGTGTTGAAAATACACATGGTTGAGTTTGAAATATGACTTGGTAAGTGGCAAAATGCCCTGAGTATTCGTTCAGGCATTCAAGCTTATAAAAAGTAGCAATATTGGAAAATTTGTCTGGTGTATAGTTTTATTCATAGCGCCGAGTTGAAAATTGCATGGTTCTACTATGTAATTTGACAAAGCGAGTTGAAAATACACAGTGAGCAAGGTCAAATAGAAGAGTTGAGTTTAAAAGCTAAGGGACACAAGCATAAAAACATTTTCTTCTAAAGGAAGAGTGTAAAATTTTGAATTCAGCTATAAAATTTAAGTACCGAGGTTAGAGATTTAAATGATGCATTTAAAATTGAAACCATGAATTTTGGCAGGGATCGTACGCCATAAGCCTGACTTTGTTTCTACCCCCTGGTGTGCACCAAGTATGATTTCTAAGAGGAATGTCAAACTGTGTTCCATGCAATTCTGAGTTTGTCCTTGTTTTCTTGAAAACAATGCATAATGAAACAACTATTAGAATTGGTTTTTGTGATATTTGGAATAATCAAGGTCTCAGTACCGTAAGTGTTATCAGCCTCGGCCTTCGGCTCAGCTGATGTCATTTAGTCAATCCTCTCCCTTGATTATTTCTGGATAACACAAAACCTCATCCCACACCATTTATTGTTTAATGTTAACAAAGTGAACTAAGACTGTGGTGGCACAGCCCCTCTACATTAATTTGTAAATACTCAGTATCTTACATTTCATTGGGTAATTAAGGCAGCAGTGACAGTTAAAAGTAATGAAGTGAACTTCATTGATTCCTGATTTTCCTTTCAATACTAGGCAAACATCTTAGGAGCACTATGCAATATTGTGCAGGTTAGTGACACTGGGGTTGAGGCATTTGTGCCAGAAAATAGAAGAAAAGTCAAAGTTACTAAAAATTTGTAATTACATGTAACAACAAATGCTGAAAAGAAAATAGAATACCTTATTATTTATTTGATAAAGTGCTCAACCTCAAGTAACTGCCCACCTCCAATAACCCTCCACCTTATAGGCAGAAAAAAAATGAATTATCTCCTAACCTCGAATAAGTGCCTACCCCATACCAGCTAGATTGAAAAAGACTAAGTTCTACTAAATTAAGAGACCAAGTTTTCTTAGTACAGTATTTTAAAGAAACTTTCAATGAACAGTTAAAAATCTGCTTTGGAACTCAAACAAAATTACTTTTGGTGAAAACTGTGAGAATTCATTAAACACCCAGCCCAAATACACGTATTAAAGTGACCAAATTGAATAATAACCCACTCTCAAGGTGCAAAACTTTAGTGAGCACCCAGGCAAGGCACTTAATCAAATAAATATGGTATTTTGTTATGGGACCTCTTCATTGTAGCGGTACATGCAGTCACGTTTTCCAGTAGGTGTAGTGCTTGATTTATAAACACACAAGCTGTTTTATAAAAACTGCATTGACAAAATAGATTTGCAATTATTGAGAATCTGTTTTATACCAATACAGCATTACATTTCATTTCACCCTTCATTAGTTCGGCTTTGCTTTTTCAAAAACAATGTATCTCAGCTCCAGGTTTTGTCCAAATTACCTTTAGTTAAAATTTTTTGTGCATTTAAGATAGACAATATTATTTTGAACTACTGTGCAAATTAACCTTTTAAAAAAATAATGTATGAAATAGCTGTACGTATGATCTGGCGATAGTTTATCTACAGTGTATATGTAAACTGCTTTTAATAGACCTTTTTACCGATACGGTGGCCATATTGAATTAATTCAATTTAAGGAGTATTATAGGATGCCCAGAGTGCTTTTCGGGACATTTTTTCTTAAAGTTTTCTTAGAATAAGATTGTAATGGGAAAAAAGATCCTTGTGCCCTGTTTGGATGTAATAATGATCGCCTTTTTCTAGTTTAGCATTAGAAATATGGTCTTTCACCGTATATTTCTAGGGAAAAAGGTGATCATGATTACATCCAAACACGGCTCAAGGATCTTTTTTTCCCATTAGAATCTTATTCTAAGAAAACTTTAAGAAAAAAATGTCCCGAAAAGCGCTCCAAAATACAAGCCAAATGTGCATGCTTCACAGCAGGTATGTCAATGCAGAAATTTCAAACCCATTGAATTTTTTGGGTGGCAACAAGCTACCTTAAACTTCAAGGACACTTTGGAGAATTCTTGCTGATCTCAGCAAGACTGTTCTTCGAAGTGCAGTGCCAACTCAATCCCAGAATTATTTATGTTTTTTCAGTTAAACCTCCAGGTCTTCAGAATAGTACCCAGTGCTCCAAAACAAAAGGGGCAACTTTTACACCTTCATCTTCCACAAGTAGTATCTTCATGCCAGATGAAGATACTAATTCTTGTTGACTATACTTGTTGTTGATCTCTTGTTCGATGTCCACCCTTTTGTCACAAGGACATGCAATATTAGTGATGAGGCAATTTTTGTTCTGTTGGTCCACACACACGATGTCAAGGCGATTGTGAGCCAGTTTCATTTCTGTTTATATACAGAAATCCAAAAGAAATTTGAAAGTCTTATTATCCTTAACATCACATTATTATTATCATTATTATTGTTGTGGTTGATGATGTTATTATAAGCATGAGTAGTAAAGAGGTTCATACACATGTACAAAAATAAGCTACCTTAACCACTATTTTGGGCACTAATTTGTGGTTATTGCTCACTTTTTTCAATGACTGTGCTTTGCAGATTTTAGTAAAACAGATGAAGGTGCGAACAGATGGTTGAGGAGACCCTAGAGAAGCTAGATGCCAGCTCCTTGGTTAATTCTTCCAAACCCCAGAGTTTAAGGAGATCCACCTACAAGCCAACCACCCTTTAGTTCACATGCATGGCCATTGTCGTTGATTAGCAGTGGAGCTAGTTGTCACACCAGTACATCCTCCTCCACTGCAGCCTCCCTCCCCACATTCTCCTTTACTTTAAGGAGTGGCAGTGATGATGAACATATGATGGAGAATGGATGGATTACTCTCTAGTTGTTGCCATTGTTTGATTAAATTTAATATCTTCACTTTGAATTCTGTTTTAATTTTTGCAAAACTTTTTTTTAGAAAAAATTGAAATGTTTTGAAATCACTCATTCTGAATATTTCAATCAACCTTGCAACTGTACCGTTTATATTTCTTTGAATGAATTGTCAGCATGTCCGAACACTTTTTAGAGTTAGGTTTATCAACTGACACGACTTTGCACGTTTTCCTGTCAGAATTATCAAACTTTGTTCCTGTATTTGAACTTTAAAATAAATGATGTTACGCGATTTAAAGCCTGTGTTTTTCCCTCATGCGTTGGGCGATCAGTTAAAGTGAGTAAGACTGGGGCGGTGATAAAAATGGTAGAATGGTCGGAACTGTTAAAAATCATTTTCAGTATAATACTGCAACCCCACAAATAAGTCCCTGAAATGCAATGAAGTGCAATGCTGACCAGGAAACATATCGTGAGGTATCAATGGAGTGAAAAGGCGGTATCACTTTTTTCAATATCATGAATGGAAATTGAAAGTATCGTCAAATTTAGTACAATAAACGTGTTGCAATTTTCGCGTATCAGGGTGTTTTGCCACGATTTCAACATCGGTAATTTCATGAACCGTGGAATTCCAGTGGTGTTTGAGTCCCTGGTATTTCACGTACCATGGAATTTCGGGGAAGTGAAAACACACGAAACTTCACGTATCGTGGAATTTCATCGCATTCCACGGAATAGAATCTTCACGTGTCGTGAACGTTTGGAGCATTAGGATAACACAATCCGTAGCGTGGAATTTTAGTGAAAATGAAAGGCAAAAATTGTAGCGTTCATCAACGGCACTCCATGATTCTCGGCAAATCTAGAAAAATAAGGACGTTTACAGGTCTTGACACGCCGCGTTTCAATGACGTGTCCGGATATCGGATATTCCATGCCGCGGAAAAAGTTCGATTCAGGAAAATTACGGGTCCTGATACTCAATGTATACCCTGCGTGTCCGGAACCCGATACCTCTCCATACTTCCGTTTTTCTCAAGAATACGGGTTCGTATCGACTAATATCGGGACCATGACACAACTCATTTCACACAGTGTATACAACACATTCGATATAATCTTTGTATATAACAAGACAAGTGCAAGACCAACGGACACTTTCCTTTTCTGAACAACTGGGGATTTTGCCTGGCTCTCTACTTAAGAAAGCCGCGTGCAGGCTACGCTCAAGAACGATTTTGCAATTACTGGTTATGGACTGAGTCTGTATTAGTTTATTTCAACATCTCGTCATTGATTTTAAAACGTATATTGGAGTTTGAAAATGAATGATTGTTTTTTGTGCATGACGTCACAATTATAGTTTACATGCTGTAAGAGGGTTTGGAGTAACATTAAAGGGTGAGGTAACTGAACTGACAAAACGCCAATATTTTCTGAAGTCAATCAGTAGCCAAAAGGATGGCTAGAGTATATTAATAACATTACAATAGACATCTCGTTCAAACAAAATAATTAATACAATGAAACGACAGTAAAAAGAATGATCGCAGAAACTGAGCCAAATATCCAAATATATCACGCGCTTTTTTTGCTGAAGGTTGGTGATACTGCAGTGTAGGTTAAAATTAGGTAGTACTAAGTATATAGTTAAAGATATAGAATACTTCATGGGAAATGCGTGCTTACGGTATTTACGCACTCGTTTTTGTATCAAAAATCTCAATCGTTCGCTGTGCCCACACGCGTTCGATTTCTGATACGTTAACAACTCGATCGTGCGTACAGTAAATACCGTACGCCCGCCCTTTCCATGAAGTATTCTATATTTTCGTCATAGCTTTTCAGTGCGTATATCTCAATACAGTAGGACCCCGATAACTCGAACTCGGATAACTCAAACTCCCCGCTAATTCAAACTAACAGTCCAATTTCCCTTGGATTTCACACCATTTTTCAGTCATTTTTAGTCGGTCTGAACTCGAACTCGGATAACTCGCGATCGAACTAAATTTATTTTCCCTCGAATTCTGGTTCTTGTAGCTCCACTCGGGTGCCACCCCATTGGCTCTTCGTGATGTATAAAGGTAAAAGTCATAGTCATTGTGGTCAACATGAGAGCAATTTCTCATTGGTGCAACGAACAGGTCACGATTTATCATAAAAAAGGCCTCATCATATGTTAATGTTTCTGATAAAATAAGTTAAATTTGCATCGCACTATACATTGAAGTGCTGAAAAATCAGTATCCACCAATTTTTAACATGGAAAATTGAAGTTTGCATCGATCCGATAACTCGAACCTTCGCTAACTTGAACTGTTTTTTATCGTTTCCCTACAGAGTTCGAGATATCGGCGTTCTACTGTATGTTATAGAAAAACATGTTTTGCAAATTGTTTTGTAATTTGTTTGCCCACGGAGCACTTAGGAGTTTTTAAGAATTTGTTGAGACTTGTCCGTGCGTTCCAGATCGAATTGGACTTTGCAAGAGTTGGTTTTTAAGGAGAGGGGAAAACCGCCTTGTACCCGGAGAAATATACTTCTCGGAGCAAGGGAGAGAACTAACGACAAACTCAAACCATATTTGGCGTCGACGTGGATTCGAACCCGGGCCGGCCACATTGGTGGGAGGCGAGTGCTCTCACCACTACGCCACCCTTTCATTTTTTTATCACGAATAAAGCCAAGTTATCCGGAAATGTCTGCTTCTAGTTTACTATTTACTGTCAATACAAAATATAGTAAGCATACAGAATGACATTCAAAAAGTCATTTATAATTCATGAAAGAAAAAACACTTCCAAGTTTTTACCCACGGTACTAAAAGAATTAAGAGATTTTGAAACCTTTCCCCAACCTCGCAACCTTTGTATAATTAAAAGGAAAAACCACTCGGTCGTGCCTCGCTTTTAAACTAAATTATAATATATCGCACTCGTTTATTAAACATCACTTTAAATTATCCCACCCTTCGTCCAGCAATAAGCAGGGTATATGGTGACTTAAAGGCCATGTTCACATTAGTCACATTGTATTAGGCTGCGTAGCAAGCGTTTCCGTACGGTTTAGGAGCAAAGAACGAGGAGCGAGAGTCAAAGACCGCGCGAGAAATGGCGTAAGTAAAAGAGTGGGGAGAGCGGGGACTTTCAGTTTTTGGCTGTTGTTTCATTTCTCGCGCGGCCAAAACCGAGATCCCGTTCCTCGGTCTTTCTTTGCTCCGAAACCAAACGGAAACGCTTGCTACGCAGGCTAACATTGTACCGGATATAGCTTTTCGTATCCGGGTGTAGTGTGAACACCAATCCGATAGGTCTATATTCTCCGCTAAAGAGATCGGCGCGGGGCAGCATCGCTCCGTCACAGAAATCGCACCGCCACAATCGTCCTTATGTGTGAAGAGAAGGCCTGTCTGGTATGATTTTTGTTGCGGCGCAAAAGCTATCCGGAAAAGTGGGGACAAAGCCTTAGTCACGGTAACTAATACAACTCTCAAGGGAAACATAATTGTCATATTTCATGAGATACATACGCCTCATTCAGAAAGAGGCAAGACAGAACGATCGCCGGACTGGCAAGGTAAGGTAACTATAGCTAACTATGTTGCGCCAAGTATGGGGACCCTACCACAGACTTTAGAGTACCGGCAGGGAAGTCACTTAACCTGAATTGCGCGTTTTTCGATTTTTGATCCAGGACTTTAGGTATACAGTAATAGCCCGCGTATAAGAACCTGGGTTTTAAGAACCTGTTAGGCTAAAATTTTCATTTTAAGCCCCCTCCACATAAGAACGTATTTAGGCTAAAATTTTAAGTTAGGTTCTTATCAGTGGGGTTGCTGTAAAAGTGTACAGGTAGAAACTGCTGAATTAAGATCATCATCTAGGACATATGCTGTACCTGCACTGAACTGCCTATATAGGCATTGCTCTATGGTACAAATAAATGATTTATACTGTATTATCAGATGATATTTATAATATATATAGTATATTCAGATGAAATTCATACGAAAATATAAGAACTTATTTTAAGAACCTCGGTAGCCTAAATTTGCTTTAAGTACCATTTATACAAGAACCTATTTAGGCTAAATTGAAAAATTCAGGTTCTTATACGCGGCCTATTACTGTATTAATGTGTATTCTGAAGGTGTGTCTGAAAGGCATACGGTGGAGGGAGCAAGATACAAAACGTTGCTTCTACGCACCGTTAAGAGATTCAAAAGATGACGCGTGTCGAGCCCTATTTCAAAGTAAATTCCGGGATAAATAACTTAATAAAAGCCATGACCCAGAAACAGGACTAGACTAAACATTAACGGTAGCGGATGAACAGGACATTCTATGCAGTATTTTCCTGATCAACTACAATTTACTTAACCCGTTCATAAGAGTGACTTTAGCCCTTTGACGACACTCACGGCCGAGACAACCTGTTGAGTTCGTACCTTAAAGACGTAAAAAGTGTCTTGTATTGGATCAAACTGAGATTTAGAGCAGAGTCAAACATTCCAAATCAGAGAAAAATTGCTGACCGACTAAACAAGCGACTCAAAAGTGACAACGCGAGGGAAAGGAACTACGTGTACCACGATACTGATCGCCTTTTGACAGCAGCAACAATTAATTACGTCAAACTTGCATTAACCTGTCCGTCATATAACGGCTATTTCACAGTACACAAGTCTCAAAACAACATAGTTTAAATACCTTTTATTATCCTATATTACAGCGTAACTGTTCGCATTTCTTATAAGTCAATGTAAGCCAGCTTTTATTGTTCAAATGTTTCACTTCCGGTTAAGTGTACAGACTTCACTTATGATTTCAGTACTGATACATTAAGGTGACTCGACCCAGTTTTTTGGGGGGATACCATCCTACTTTGAAGCTCTCTGGTATCCCCACCTTTACTTTTATCGTAAGTCTAACACATAGAATGGTTAAGATATAGATCAATCTACAATATAACATAAATTTTTTGGCGATCGGAGTAAATGTCACGTGGTTATAATGTCACGCCCCTTTGAGGTCTGAGTCGAAAATCTACTGTTGCTGGCATTTTTTCGTGAAAATCTCTCGGCTACACATAATGTGCATTAGTGCCTTGCGCTGAACAGAGTTTCACCAAAATCGCAAAGACCCAATTCGAGAGATTCAGCGGTTTCCAAATTTAGGTCATAATTTATGCTATGTGTTACACTATGTGTAACCGAGAGATTTTCACGAAAAAATGCCGGCAACAGCAGATTTTCGACTCAGACCTCAAAGGGGCGTGACATTATAACCACGTGACATTTACTCCGATCGCCAAAAATTTTAAGTTCTATTGTAGATTGATCTATATGTTATCCATTCTATGTGTTAGACTTACGATAAAAGTAGAGGTGGGGATACCAGAGAGCTTCAAAGTAGGATGGTACCCCCCAAAAAAAACTGGGTCGAGTCACCTTAAGGAATCTAGTCTCCACGGATATTGGGCTAATTTCAAGCTTTACTGGTCGCCAAGGCGTTGACCTCGTCCCCAGCCTCCCCACCCACCACCTCCACCACCGTCGTTTTGGTCACGTGGTCTGCGGCTCGCCGGAGGGACACCAAACCCACTTACCCCTCCCTGTCGGTTAGGGAGAAACTTGTACCTGTAAAAAATAATAAAAGTGTCCTCTTTTATTATTCTGAATTCACCGTCGAGTACTTACCATTTACATGGAAAAAACGGAAATTGCGGATGAAAAATCAAAGCGTACGCGCCATTCTGTTTGCAGAGCTTCAGAAAATACGGGCTGTTATTTAAGGCGATGAAATTTGTTTACTCTCCTAAGTCTCTTCAGCTGATTTGGATGCACTTTCTAGCGGGCAGTTCTGCCACCAAGTTAATATATCAAGATTTCCTCCCGGTGGGTTTGTTTAATTGGTAAGCAACCTTTGTTTACCCACCCAAAGTTTGGAAGTATTGTCTTCAATTTATTAGTACGACTTAAATACGCAGGAGAAATAGCCCACATTCGATATATTAAAATTCTAACATGACTCCGAGTCTTTCTGCTCATATTTCTATATTTGGGCCAATTTAATGAAAATTTTACAACTGTAATTTACAAGTATAGCTTTTGTTTTCAGACTCTAAGACCCTGTTTACATGGAGTGGGGGACCCCGGTCTAGTGGGGTAGTTTTCTTTTGTTTTGAGTCCCTCAGAGCGTGAAAACAAAAGAAACCAACCCCACTAGACCGGGGTCCCCCACTCCATGTAAACAGGCCCTACGACAATGGCTACACTTGTAAATCACACTTGTAAAAGTTTTATTAAATTGACCCTTGGTTTGGTTTTCTTTGTGCTCAAGTCTCGTCTGAGAATTGCGAGAAAATGGAGTCGAGAAAAATTTTCAATTTTTTTCCTAAAGCTTCGGAGTCATTTTAGAATCTTAATACATCGAGCATGGGATATTGGAAACAATGGTTATGCAAAAATTTGAGGGGTAAAAAAAGGTGTATTAGCAGCAATGTGAAAATTTCTACGAAATAACTTCTTCGAATATAAAGGTTTCTGAGGGTTCTAACGTATTTCGCAAAACTACGTTGATTACAATGCAAGTAACGTAAAGAAACAAGTTAACAGTCTGTATACCCACTTACAAAAGGGAATGGAGTTATTTTGTAATTATTAGGGCAAACTTCTATAGATCTGACGTCATAACTGGAATATAATTCCCAAAATTTACATACTCACAAGGCTCCATTGCATGAGTAAAACTCGATCATGAAAATTTGAAAATTTCTCGACAAGTTTTTCCTTGACAGGGTGGAAAATTGTCAAGTTTTACCATTTACACAACCGAGGAAACTCGTCGAGGAAAAACCTTGTACACGAAGACACGGCTAAAATGGGGCTTACATGTACCACATGTTTTATGGGCTTTTATATTACCATCTCATTAAGATCTCTTTAAAATAGGACAAACCTCAGTGTTATTAATACAAAAAAAATTATTGAATTCTTACAGTATGGAAGGAGTGGAAAGGAAGCGACGTCCTCCAAAATCTTGTGGGTACTTGAACATGAGAAAAAAATAAAGGTGTCCAACAAAGATGCCAATAAGCTCCATAATACCACTGAAAATCAAACCAACAGAAGGGCCATTAGAAATCTCAAACAAAGTCAAGTTTACTTACTGTTACGGTTGCCCTAACAATTTTTCAATGGACTACATAGTTACTCTCACACTACAGCAAATACCATCAAAAATCTAAAGTTCAACTTAACCTTACTGGTTCCTTTTTCAAACAAGCAATACTGTTATTATGCATTCCTCAGAATGCACAAGAACACCGTTTGTAGGCTCACATTAGTGAGTTGAAAAGTTTGACTAATAATAAGAACCAAAGCGGCATAAACTATCACCAGTGTTAACAAGCTTTCTCTACATGACTATGTATTCTGTGATTAAAACAGTTTGAACTTTTTAAATAATCTGATTTTTTTCGCTTTGTTGCTGGTTTACTGATGAATTTGTAGCATGCCTCCTTAGAACTGGAAGTGTAAATTTCTTCAAAGAAATGGGCAAGAAATGGTTCTACATTCTGTGCAAAGAAAAAAGGTGCTACATACCCTCCCTGAAGGATCATGTTAAATATTGCCAGCACCCATGGTAAATACATTGCCTGAGGACGAAGCAGCAAAGATAGTCAGCAATTTATTTATCATCAGCACTGTCATTACGGACCACGGACTGGGGATTCTTTCTTGTATCTCAGTATACTTTGGTAGAAAAATTTATTATACAATAATTTGATATGCTAAAAACACAAGACAAGTCAAAATTATTCATACGACTATTTCCCACCCACTTATCACCATAAAAAGAACAAAAAAGTCATGTCAGCAACAAACAGGATCAAAAATATATGTTGTGGTTCAACTTTATCCATGGTTTAAATTCATTTCCTTTTTATTCAAACTCATTATCATCCACTATCATACCCAAAAACAAAAGGAAATAAAATTTCAACCAGGATAAAATTGAACCACAAGATACGTACATATATTTATATTTTAGGTGGTACAATTACTTTGACATTGGGTAAACCCAGGACTGAAAGAAGAAAAGTTAAAAAATGGGAAAAAGTGATGATGAAAACAAAGACTGAAAGATAAACTATGAAGAAGTAACATCTAAAAAGTTGAAAATTGCAACCTTGCAGGGCTGTCAAAATTCTTTTAAGTAGCAGGCTGATAATGAATAGTAGGCGACTTTGGAACTCGCACCAAAGGCGCAAGTTCTTGAGGGCTGAGGCATCTAGGGACATTTAGAAATTTGGAGTCTCGGAAATGACGTTCACAGGGGTTTTCACGAGGTATTTTCCACCGCAGATGCTGTGTTGTTTCGTCAGAATACACATAAGACTGGGAACAATGCCGTCGCAAAAGCAGGCAATCCATGACATTACACGGTTAGAATGTTTCACAGATCTAAACCTGTTAACTGGTAAATATGTGTTCAATGTCATTCAAAACTGGGAAACAACTGCTTTACCATTTTATTTGATGGTGCTTATTTTTTGTTAGCAGTTATGGTAGAAGGAGATAAAAGTAGCCAGCTAAGGATGGCTAACTACCCGGCAGTTTTGGCGGGCTACTGGCCCTTATTGACAGCCCTGCCTTGTAACCCTGTGCTTCAGCCCAAACTAGCACAGATTCAATAGTACTGCACTGCTTGTTGGTGGGGCACTGTCCTCTCAGTTAAACCAAGACAGCTTGTAGACGTTCAGGGCTCATTTTCAAGGTATCACGGCAATAATTTAACAAGTTAACATTTTTCAAGGGCTAAAGGTGCAATTAGTCATCTGTAATAACACCAAAGAAAACTTCCTACGGGAGCTCCAGAAAATGATCAATGTCAAATTTCACAAATTGACATCTAAAACACAAAGTTTTCAGAATTTTACCTGTGGTTTCACATTCTTGTGAAATTTGACATTCATTTTCTCAGACTCCCATGAAAAATTTTCTTTGGTGTTATTACAGATGACTAATTACATCTTTAGCCCTTGAAAAATGTAAAAAGAATGCAATATTCTTTAAATAATTTATTATTCTGGTACAGGGATTTTGTCCACTGAAAATTAAAATTACTCAATTTCCTGGTGGATTCTGTCTTAAAACACCAACAATCATTTACTTTTTTTCCTAGTGTCACTGAACTCGTCATGAGCTAATAACAGCTAAAATTAAGGACATTAAAAGAGTCTTAAAATAGGATATGTTATGGTTCAATTTTATCCTTGGTTCAAATTTTATTTTCCTTTGTTTCAAACTCATTATCCTATATTACCATACCCAAACTCATTATCAAACTCATTATCCTATATTACCATTTTACCCCAAAACAAAGCAAAATAAAATTTAGACCAAGGACAAAATTGAACCAAAACAGATATACTGTAAACTTCCCATGATTATAAACCCCCCTTTATAGGCCCATCTAACTGCAAACAAAAAAAATAGATCCAGTTATAAGCTCCCCCCGACACTCAGATAAAAGCACCCCTATAGCATGAATTAAAGTGAATTCAACTTTTTAGGACATTTTGAAGCTTGAAAAAGTGATCAAATTCAAAAAGTATTTTGATAAACACTGCTTTGTAACTTGTTTTTTGAAACACTTTTTTAGTCCAGTTATAAGTCCACCAGTACTGTTTATAAGCCCTGTTAGACCCCTCATGAAGTTGTGTAAGCCCAGGGCTTATAATCAGAATTTTACCGTACTGTAACTGTAGTAATACAAGTAACGAAGTAACTACACTTAGAGCTTCTCCTATTGAAACATTAACTGCATGCAAAAAGCATTGTAGTATTAATCTGTTTAAGTCCTGAAGGGACACCTTACGGATTGCCCAGCACTAAGGTGTTTATATGTCTTCTTTTAGGAAGAAAGGGCCAAGATAAGACCAAAAAAAAATAAAGTACTCCACCTTAAACTGCATTCCAAACCAGAACTGTACAATCATGTCTTTGTTCACTTGACACCAAACATACAGAACACTGAGAACAAGTGGGTCCATAAGAAGCTAAAATAAACACGTCAAATCAGACAGGTTATGTTAGATATGATTAAGTATTAAAATTTATTATCTGAAAACAGAGCAAAAGGTGAGGAGTTCAACAAAAAACACTGACAGAAATTTTGTGGCCAACTTGTTTTCTCTTATTTGCACTTTAATGTAAGTATAACCCTCACATTTTAATAAATTACCCTACCTGCAGTAACTGTATAGAAGAAAAAAACTTACCATCAAAGGTATGAGGAAGCCTATTATCTGATGGCATTGCATGTCAAGGAAAACAATGATCTCCATGATGCTCCACATGAATTAACTTATACCTACATTCCTGCTTATTGTTAGCACTGAAAATAAAATCTATTTTCATGTACGGATGATGATGGTGATGATGATTTAGAAAAATTCATAGCATTGATCATTTTGGAAGTAACAGTCAACAGCATATCACTTTTAAGACAATGCATTTTGTTTGAAGAAGGAAAACAACAAAGAGACACTGGAACCATTCGTAGAGAAACATCATTTTCAACTTCACTGATTTAAATGCACGGCATGTTTTGCAGCATAAAAGGATACAATTAAGATACATCCATTGAAGAGTATCATAAACAAATAGTCTGCGGGTCTGCCATCAAAGAGACCTAAAAGAAAAAACATTTATTTGTTGATATCATAAGTACACAAACAATATTGTAGTAAAGCAGTTTGTCACATACCAGCGCAAGTATAGGCTGACCCAGTTTCATATTCAAACAAACCTACATTTCAGTATAAGTTCCTGAGTGTTTTTTGATGTTGTTGTTGTTGCTTTTTCATTTTACCTGTTTCAAGTCTCGTGGAGTAAGAATACAAGAAATACATGTTGATGAGGTAATGGAAACCAGTCTGGGGCGTGATGGGATAGAACACGAACGCAGTGATCAGTCTCCAGATCTGAAAAGCAAACAGTGTACTGCTTAAATGCTATGGTTTACATGCACATTAGATCTTAATAAAAAACTACTAGAGAATGTCATTTTATAAGCCCTATATTTTTGTTTAATTAGATAATCTGCACATATTCATTATTAGAACAACAGGGCTCCCCCACCAACCACCCCCCATCCCCCCCAAAAAATAAAATAAAATAAAAACTTGAATTCAAGCTTGTGCTTTAGATCAGCAGCTGTCATGTTTTGTTTTGGTTTTTCT